GTATTAGTTGTCCTCCATTATTGTCACATCTTGATAACTTTAACCTTAAGAATGAGAAAAATAAAATAGATTGAGAGGAGACATAGATGACACAATTTTTGTACTGAGACCTGCATAGTGTCTGAATTGATATTTTTAAAATATTAAATAAAGAAAGAACTAGTTGGAAAGCAAGGATAGAAATCTCCAAAAATTTTCAAAAATCATAAAAAAAAATAGAATTAAGGGTCTAGAATAGTATCTGAGGCCCCAAAGGTGTTCATAGGAGGAAAATAATTTAAATATTAAATTTTCTTTATGTTTAGAAATTTTTGGCTGTATTGGGTAATGGTAGTCAAAATTAAGGGAGAATGACATTGAGGTCCCACAGAAGCCAAAATACAGCAAAAAAGTCCCCTGAAATGTCATAATGTTTCTGAAGTCCCAAAGGGACCTCAGTGTAATTCAGTAAAATGGGACTGGACGTTTTTACCCCTAATGAGATAAATTCAAATCTGTTGAAAGTTATCCCATTTTCATTGGAAAATCCAAGCACTATTCGGCCGAAGGGAATAAGAAAGAGGAACCCAACGTTTACCCTTTTTCTTCCACATTGTCACTCAAAAATTCCGACACTCTGCTGAAATCAAGTGTTGACAAAAACTGGGCAAAAGTTTCGGCGTGTTCCTTCCCATTTGCTCCCAATTTCTGGTTTAAAAGCTATCATTCAAGGTAGTGGTCGTCGGCATCGTGAGCTATCATTGAAGGGGTTGCTGGTCGGCGTCTGATTTCTGGTGTGATTATGCTCTTTCTTCTTGCTAATCAGCAACTAATTTAACTCAACATTACAAAAGTTTCGGCGTGTTCCTTCCCATTTGCTCCCAATTTCTGGTTCAAAAGCTATCATTCAAGGTAGTGGTCGTCGGCGTCGTGAGCTATCATTGAAGGGGTTGCTGGTCGACGTCTGATTTCTGGTGTGATTATCCTCTTTCTTCTTGCTAATCAGCATCTAATTTAACTCAACATTACAAAAGTTTCGACGTGTTCCTTCCCATTTGCTCCCAATTTCTGGTTCAAAAGCTATCATTCAAGGTAGTGGTCGTCGGCGTTGTGAGCTATCATTGAAGGGGTTTGCTGGTCGGCGTCTGATTTCTGGTGTGATTATCCTCTTTCTTCTTGCTAATCAGCATCTAATTTAACTCAACATTAGTTCTTGATTGTTGTAGTATAGTTTTGTTTCGGTATGATATGAAATAGCTTTTACAGTAATTGTTGGTCTTTTTAGTGATAATAAGGTTAATTATTCTGATTAATAAAGAATTCAATGAAAACTTTTCCCGGGTTTCTCAACATCTTTTTAAATTTTCAACTTATACATTCTTTTTCCTCTAATAATCATGCCACATAAATTACTCCTTCATCGCTATTTTCTTCCTTTATTATTATGTTAGTTTATGAAACTGTTAATGGAAAGAAAGTAGCTCATGGAGGATGTCGAACTCAGTAAAAGGTTTTTCTTTTGTCTGAAAAAAAATAGCACAGCAAGAGAAAATGAAACAAAATGGAAATTAGTAGAGAGTGATACTTAAAATGTTGTGATGTAATGGTTGCCTCACCAGAAGGGAATGGGTAATGGAGATAAATGTCTCTAATGGGGACAATGATTAATATGCGTCCACCACAATAAGAAACCTGGGACTGTTGGACCACATGTTGATTGAGAATGAAGACCAAAGCTTGCCTTAGATTCATCAATATGGTAGGGAGGGGGTTATGAGATCGATTATTACTATTAAGAGATGGGTTTTTTTGAAGGTACTAACAGAAGTTATTAACTAATAGCTCATTGGATATGTTTGTTCAAAAATTACACTCATCTTTTAATATGTATGGTAGATTAGGTAAAGTTAACTTTTTCATGATATATGATTTGTATAGGAGTTTCATTCAGTGAAGGACGGTAATTTTTGGATATGTACATAATATTGTATAACTTTTTGAATTTGTTCTGAAAAAGCTGTTATGAACTAGTTCTGTATTAGATATGATGTTTAGGTGTTTTCCTGGATGCTGTGTCCCTTGTCATTAGATGCTCTGCTCCTTGTCACTGGATACAAAACTAGTTCATAACAGCTTTTTTCTTTGTTTGGTAGTGCTTTTAAATCAATTTTCTTTTCTATATCTAGGAAGCTTTGCATCTCTGCAAAAGTTGAGTAGGAATCTAAGAAGAATTGAAGTTCATTGTACTGGTCTTGTTTTGCAGGTTAAGAAGATGGGGAAGGATAGAACCAACAAAAGTGGACAAAGAAGCTGTAATTTTTCTGGTTATGCTTTGTTTACAGAGGAATTCCATAAGAAAAGCTCGAGGAAGTACGAATCACTTGAATCCAGGAATCAGCATGTGAGAAATGCTTGGGACAAATTATCTGAGCAACAAAAAGAGGAATATTGTAAAAGGCCAAGGAACAAAGAGCTCCCACAAAGTCCAAAAAGTATATAGTTCCTTTCTACACAAGATGTGCACCTAAACAGTTCATCCAAGTTTGCAAGCATATCAAAGAAAGGAAGGAACTAATGGACAGGTTAAAAAAGATAGGTTTTGATAAGTTGATTGAAGTATGTTGCCACACAATTCAAAGAGAATTGTGTGGAGAGTTTATGTGTGCATTCGACCTTCCAACAAAAAGCATTTCCATAAGAGGGAAGAGAAGGAAAATGAGGGCAAATGATGTGCATGACTTTATGGGGCTACCAATAAAGGGAGAAGAGATTAAAGTAGCTGTGAGTGGTGAAGATGAAGTGTTCAAGCAATGGAGGGTTGTGTATGGTAATGTTCCATACAAGAAGATAGCGTCATTGTTGACTGAGGACAAACAAGATGAAAATTTTGAGATGCTGTGTGTCATGTATGCATTGGGAACATTGTTGTGTCCTAATGCCAGTATCTGTGTCACTGATTATTTGTTGAAGGTCATACTATCAACCAAGGATAGATTGGGTCGGTTTGATTGGTCATCTTATGTGCTGAATGAACTATACAAGGGCATTGGAGTGTACAAAAAACAATTAGAAAAAGGCAAGCTGACTGAAAAGAAGAAGAATGTGCCAGGTTGTCTATACTTCCTACAAGTAAGTGCTATTATAATTTGTATATTTCTGTTATCATTTCATTTTATGGTCTGAATGTTGTCAATGGCTGCTGTTAACTTATCATTCATATGACATGCAGATGTATTGTCTACAAAAGTTTCCACTTGGGGAAACAAAAGCTTCACATGTTGAGCATGCTCTTGCATTTTGGGATGAAAAGAAAGTGCAGCAAAGAGTTAATATGGAGAAGGAGAGCGATCAAGGAATATTGCATCCGGCTAGTCAAGCCACCAGTTTTGATCCAGAAAATTTAACTCACCCGTATGTGGACTTGGAGGCTTAATGTACTTTTTTTTTTCTGTTGCTTACATATTAAAGTTCTGAATTTTACTTGTATAGGAGATCAAGAAAACATATGCCCGATTAGTGTCAATGCTGGGAGAGGAGATGATGGCCCTTCAGTCAAGACTAATGAAGGATAGTGGCAGTGCAAGTGAAGAGGAGAAAGATGATGATGAAGAATCTAAATCAGAAGAGGAAAAAGGGGTCAAAGGAAGTGAATCGGAGGAAGAGGAAATTGAGGAAGAAGGAACTGAATCGGAAGAGGATAGAAATGAAGAAGAAGAACAAAAAACTCAATCAAAAAGGAGAGGGTGGAGAAGAAAGTGAAAGAGAAGAAGAGAATGAAGAGGTGAAAGAGCTACAAGAGGACAAAGAAGAGGAAGAACAAAAAAGAAGAGAAGAAGAGGATGAAGAGGACAAAGGAGAAGAAGAAGACAAAGAAGATGAAGAAGATGAAGAAGGAAATGCAGGAGAAGAAGAGAATGAAGAGGATGAAGAGGACAAGCAAGGGGAAGGGAAATATATGTGAGGAAATCAACAAGGGTCATAAGCAAGGGCAAGGCTCTTAGGTCTCCATTTCTGGAAATCAAAACTAAGCCTGGGAAAAAGAGAACAATGGATGATAGGCAAGCTTTATTTGACATGTGTACAGCAAGGTGTGATGAAGAGGACCAAAAGCAGTAAGTATTATGTTTTGGTGTCCAAATTTATATTATGTTACAGAATTTACTGACTTCATAATTGTTTTATTTACATTAGATACTTTGTATCGATGTATGGATACTTTCTAACCCGTGGTGAGCTGCAATGTCTCCAACGTAGAAGATGGATAAACGATAGGGTAAGTCACATGTATATAGTTAACATTAGAATGAGTTATTTGATGGTAAAGAGTTGTAATTTCTTTATATTGTCATTTCAGTTTATGACTATGGTGGCAAGGACATTTGTTGGAGATCAAAAGGATAAAGAGGGGAGAGTGAACCGGCATATATTTTCTGCAGATTTCATGCAAAAGATGGTAGCCAATCCTTTAAGATGGAAATGGGAGGACCATGAAAGGGAAATATTACCTAAATATATTGGGTACAATATAAGGGATTGCGATTTCCTTTTCGGTCCTACGTTATTTGAAGATCATTGGTTTTGTTATGTGTTGGAGACAAAGACCATGACCTTCTATGCCCTTGACTCCTTGGTTGATAGCATCACATTCATAAGATTACAAGCAGAGGAAGAAGAAGCAAAGAAGAAGGGGAGTGAGCAGCAACATGATGCGAAGAAGAAAAAGAGGACACTAAAGGGCACTTCAATCCCAAACACTTTATGGCAACACAGACTGTGTGTATTTATTTGCTGCTGTCATACTTGTCAATGACTAGTCTTATAGTTGTCACTAGCAGTCTGCGTAGTTGTCACTGCATGCTCTGTTAGTTGTCACTGGATGCTGTGTTAGTTGTCACTGGATGCTGTGTTAGTTGTTATCACGTGCCCTGTTAGTTGTCACTGGATGCTATGTTAGTTGTCATCACATGCTGTGTTAGTTGTCACTGGATGCTCAGTTGACTAGATGTTGTGTTAGTTGTCACTGCATGCTCTGTTACTTGTCACTGGATGCTGTTACTTGTCATTGGATGCTCTGTCATTTCTCAGTGGATGCTCTGTTAGTTGTTAGTGGATGCTGTTTTTTGTTACTGGATGCTTTGTCCCTTGTCACTGGATGCTGTGTTACTTGTCACAATATGCTCTGTCCCTTGTCACTGGATGCTGTGTTGTTAGTAAAACCTTTTGATTATGTGTTTTTTTTGCAGATGAACTGTTTCCATACGATGTTGCGTGCTGTTAAGCCAGAATTGTTTGCCAATGAGGACAACATTGGCAACGAAGTGAAATGGGCTAAAGTTTATGTGCAGAATGATACGTGAGTGTAGTTGTTCTGTTTGATTGTGTTATGTTGTGTTTGTTCACAATAAAAATTGCATGCTGCTTACATATTGAATTTGCTTGGCAGTGATTCATGTGGAGTTCATGTCCTCTCTTGGCTACAAGAGTGGGATGGCACTGCTCGTGATGCTGCAGGATATACCATGCCACGATACTCCAATGATGAATTGCAAGAGTTGAAGGTTGGCTGTTTGTGGTGGTTGGTTACCCATCCCCATAATGAACATAGGGATGAAGTGATGTCACTGCTATCGGACTATAACAAGAGCAAGAGGAGGAGATAGAGGAGTCAATTAATTTTTTGTTATGTTATGCCAAGATGTGTTGTGAGATGATTGGCACCTAAGGGTGTGAACCATGAGTGGCAATAGCTTAATGGTCAATAGGTCCTTTTGTAACAAACTGATCAAATTATGTTTATAATATTATTATCTTTGCTATTAGATGTTATGATACCAATTTCTTGGGCACAAGTCACATTTTTATTTTTGTTATTTTATATCTTTATTGATATCGATAAATTTATGTAATATTAATAAGTAATATAACATGAGTTAATGACAAGTGATATAACAAGTTATGTAACCATTGTCAAGTCACATTGCCACCAATGACAAGTCCGTGTGACACCATTGACAAGCCATGGTGCCACCAACGACAAGTCAGTGTGCTACTATTGACAAGTCATAGTGCCACCAATGACAAGTCCGTGTGCCACCATTGACAAGCCATGGCGCCACCAACGACAAGTCAGTGTGCTACTATTGACAAGTCATAGTGCCACCAATGACAAGTCCGTGTGCCACCATTGACAAGCCATGGTGCCACCAACGACAAGTCAGTGTGCTACTATTGACAAGTCAGTGTGGCACCATTGACAAGTCATAGTGCCACTATTGATAAGCCACATTGGCACCAATGACAAGTTCGTGTGACACCATTAACAAGTCAGTGTGCCACCAGTGACAAGTCAGTGTGCCACCAACGACAAGTCAGTGTGCCACCATTGATAAGTCATAGTTCCATTATTGATAAGTCACATTGGCACCAATGACAAGTTCGTGTGACACCATTGACAAGCCATGGTGCCACCAATGACAAGTCAGTGTGCTACCATTGACAAGTCATAACGCCACCATTGACAAGTTACATTGCCACCAATGACAAGTCCGTGTGCCACCATTGACAAGCCATGGTGCCACCAACGACAAGTCAGTGTGCTACCATTGACAAGTCACAATGCCACCATTGACAAGTCACATTGCCACCAATGACAAGTCCGTGTGCCACCAACGACAAGTCATAGTGCCACCATTGACAAGTCACAGGGCCACCATTGACAAGTCTTAGTGCCACCATTGACAGCTCTAAGTGCCATGATTGACAAGTCACTATGCCACCATTGACAAGTCACAGTGCTACCATTGACACTTTATTAATAATGATTATATATGACAATATAACCAAAAATATAATATGACACAGTGATTGAGAATATCATATGTTACTAAAACAAGTTATGTAACTTGAATTCATATTGTTGACAACTTACATCAGCAAATTAATTGACAAGTGACAGTGCTCCGTTGACAAGTCATAACAGGTCTAATGACAATATAAGGTGTAGGTAATGACAACTTAAATGACAGCAGAATCTAACATGCCAATTCATAGTCAACTTTCATTTATACCTTCATATACATGAAACTACACCTAATTCACAACCCATCCCAAAAAAACACAGGGGTTGCATGTAATTACGAGAAACTAACTATTGGTGTGTGTCCATTTACAAAAAATTCCCTTCACACCCATTTACAAAATATTCCCTTCACATTCATATACAAAAAATAGCTGATTTCATTATGTTCTCAGATGGGATTTGGGTTCTTGCATGTCTTGGCAGTGTGTCCAAGCTCTTTGTATCTTCCACAATGATAAACCTGCATCAAGAATCACGCAACTGTCATTGACAAGTCAAGGAGCTATATTAACAACTGTCGCGGCACGCATTGACAACTATCGCGGCCTGATTGACAACATAATATCCCATTTCGTACTAAGGGTTTCTACCCACAGTAACCTTCATCTTTTTCTTCCTTTGCCACTGAACTAGCATCAGAACAGAGCAAAACCACCCACAAGCAACTCAAAAACAGAGCACCCATGATTATCCTACACACCCAACTTAAATCACCAACACACACCAACCAAAAACACAGCTTTTCTATTGATTAACTTGTGAATCCCATTTCCAAAACCACCCACAAACAACCCAAAAACACAAAAACGATTTTTTGATTTCCCATTTCCAAATAAAACCACAATCTGTCAAGAAAGGTAGGAGAGAAGAGGAAAGAAAGTTTCACACCTGAAAGTTTGTGGAGATTCACATGGAAGCTCTTTGGAGTTCACTAATGGTAATAGAGAGGATATTTCATCATCAATGGCTCCTTCCCTCTTTCCCAATGTCTTCTTTCTCAAGCATATTGCGCGGGAACTCTCACCTAAATGAATTTCTGCTTCTTCGTTTCTGATGGCTTAGGGCAGGGCAAGAGAGTAATTTCCAGATTCTGAAAATTGCATCTAAGTCCCTTTGGGACTTCAGAAACATTATGACATTTCAGGGGACCTTTTTGCTGTATTTTGGCTTCTGTGGGACCTTAATGTCATTCTCCCCAAAATTAATTATTTAAATTATCCAGAAGCCTCAATAACTTTGAGAAAAATGAGAAAAAATTATTTGAGAGATTATTATAATTTATAAAATTGTTTCCAACCCCAGAAGGTAAAGAAGTTAGTTTTAATAATATTTAAAGCTTTTTTTTTGTGGAACACTGATTCTAAAAGAATTGAAATTTAAAGAAATAGAGGGTGAAATAAATTTTGGAAAAAATCATGTAACTTCCTTACATCAAAAGTAGTGTATTGGGATATTGAGATGAATTTTTGGAGACACTGGTTTAGACAGGATACAAGAAAAATTCATTTGACTAAGCATTAAAACTCAGGGAAATGACAGGATACTTGGGAAGTGGATTTTTCTCCAAAATTTTCTGGCCATTTTCACACCAATTTGGCCATGGAATATGGAAAAGAATTAAAGAAAATGAAATAGAAATAAAGCTTCTAGAAGGTAATTAATCAAGAGAATTAAGGAGGTCAACTGAGGATTAAGCTAATTAATCTTGGATGACATAGCCTCATAACATAAGCACCATGACATCACCTCTTACATGAAAAGATCGCAAGCCTCCTAGCTTAATATTTGTCCATGTGTTATGGAGAGAAAAATAGAGGGTTGAGATTTAGCCACGTAACCCTTGTAATTTCATGAAATATCAAGAGTTAAGAGTTAATGGGAGCACTATAAATATCCCTCCCTCCCCACCCTTTATAATGTGGCCAACATAGAGACTTTGGAGAGAGATTGTTGCTCTTGGGTTCTAGAGAGAGAAAGAAAGAAAGAGGAAAGAGAAAAAGCAAGAGGTGATTGTCTAAGCCTAAATACCTAATCAAGGTATGTTTAAGCTTTCATTAAGAGTTTAATTACATTGATTAGAATTAATTACCTTGATTAATGGATGATTCGGATTTAATCTTGATGAGGTTAAATGACTTAAACTTAAAGAATTATGTTGCGTTAATCATTATATGGTTTGATAAGCATGATTAGAGATTGGATTGAAGATTAGGGGTTAAAGATTGATTGGGAATACATGATTATGCATGAATTAAGGAAGAACCCCAAGACTCTAAGCTCATGTATACTATTCGGCAAGGAAGAAAAATAGGCTGCGCTTTGATTCAAGTTGATTTGATGCTTTCAATGAGTTTAAAAGGTGAAATTATATAAGATCAAGTTAAGAATATTTCTTTAGAAGCATTAAAAATTGAAAATTGAATTTTGAACTTAAACCCTACCCTATTCGACCAACATGGAAAACATGGGAAGGAAATGAGTTTTGATAAATCTAAGTTCAAATATGGAATTTATATGGAAAATTATGTAAGAAAAGACTAAGGGATTCAATAAATCAAAGTTAGAAACAATAACCCAAAAAAAAAAAGAGTTAAGGGTATGTTGATAATTTAAGTTGGATAGTTAGTAATGTATGATGCCCTATTGTTTTATCAATAGGCTTTGCATGAAAGGAGGAGGAGAATTGCCAAGGAAGGAACTTGAAGACAAGTTAAACTCATTAAGAGAGAGCGAGTGTTTACAATTTCTATGTTGACTTGCATTGTATATAAAGCTGGGAATACAAGCCAACCCACCACAACCTATGGGTTATACGGTGCGGGTTGGAGTAGACCACATTTTGGCAGGCTGAAAAAATGCCATCCCTAACCTGTCATAGCGGGCTGGCAAACCATCTTTTTTTTTAATTCTCAATTTTTAAATGTTATTTTTTATTTAATTTTTCAAATTAATAAATAGTGATCCAAAATTTCAAAAGCAATCCCAAGTATAAATTATGTTTAATCACATTTCAATAGTCAATACAAATATAAAACAATACATTACAAACATTTTACGTGATTAACATTCAACATCAATTCATCAAGTGATAAATTGATAAATTTTACAACCTTTTCATATAAATACAATATTTGATATAAAAAACTATCTCTTGATAAATTAGAAGTGCATCTATCTAATTTTTCTTAAAGTTCATTGGTCATGTTTTTCGAAAACACTTTTTTGTAATAAATATTGTCTTATATTTTATTGTAGTTGTTAAAGTTTTGTTACACATAATGTATGCTTATACATATTTTAAATATTTTTGGTTTAGCTATGCAACATGAAAATTGCAATGTAAATAGGAGAAGAAAATTTTCAAATATAATAACATATTATTTATGTGAAATTTTTTTTTTAAAAAAAGTGGCCAGTTAGGCGAGCCAACTCGCCAACTCGTGTGCTTGCTTGCCATAACCTGCGAGTTATGCGGTGCGAACTAGAGCAACCGGCATCTTGGCGGGCTGGGAAAATGCCAACCCTAGACCACTTCTTTATGGTGGGTTAGCAGGTTAGCCCATGGCCTCCAATTCATATTCTCGGCTCTAATTTTATATTGGCTATGTGTGTGTTATGCTTTGCTATGCCATGGCTTGGTTAAGATAATCATGTAATAATATGTTTGACTCCATACATGAAATGCCTTGGCTATGTGCAATCTTGAGTTTGGTAGGTGAAAAGGCATGTTGATAACTTTCCATGGCATGTGCATCTAGAAGAGCGTGAAATAGCTTGTCACATATAGCATGTTATACTTTTATTATTGACATGTTAATTATGATGCTTTACTGCTAAGATTTTAATAAAATCTTACCCT